TGTAAAACGATGGTAAAAGAGTGATTTGATTGAAACAAAAATATAAATTCAGTTATCAAATTGAAATAAAATTAAGTTACATGGCCATAATGAAACTTTGCTACAAAGTTGGTGACCCGCCATTAAAGAAAAGTAAACATTCTTCAATGTAACCAAGGGTTAAAGCATCTCACTCATCCCCACCCGCCAACGCGCCACTACACTCCACCCATCGCCGCCACCCATGAAAAAGAAATGGGTACAGTGAAGAAAATAGTGAGGAAGGCGACGGTACTAGAAGAAATGGGATTTAACAAGGGAGGTGGGAACATTAACTAGTTCCCGGGTCACATGGCCGCAGCCACTCGGGTCATCCGGGACCGCCTCAAAGTCTCCGACCTCGTCATTGAAGTTCGTGATGCCCGCATAAGTCTACTCATGCCTCAATTAATTAAAAGTAGATATTCTCTCCAGTGTTAGTGTAAGCGCAAGCATTCTTATAAATTGCGCGGCCTCAAAATTTTGTACAAATGGATGCATTATTACTCTGTTTTTTTGATATAGAGTTTGATAAATTTAAGAAGTAATCTTTTATTCTGGGGCTGGGGATTGTATGTAGATTCTACTGTCATCAGCTAATGAAGACTTGCAGCCTATGCTTTCGGGAAAAAGGCGTATATTGCTCTCAACAAGAAGGATTTGGCTAATCCTAACATCATGCATGTACTATTTTCCCTTTCTTTATGTGTTTTCATACTGAAATATCGCACTTACTGTTGAGCCTTAATTTTGTTCAATGATCTTGCTACCTTTCGATGATTAATGATTACTGCTTCATTGGCATATGCATATGAATAACTAATTTGCACATTTTTGGAAATTAATGGCGATGTTTACACATTTAACTCTATGCAGAGATGGATTCACTATTTTGATTCACGTAAACAAGATTGTCTTTCTATCAATGCGCACAGCAAAAGTTCTGTTAAAACGGTTAGTCAATGTTTTGTGTTTGTATGAAGTTTCTTCACGTGCATATATTAATCTAAAATGATTTATTCCAGTGCTATAAACTCGCTTTTCAATATTCTTAAAGCTAGTGTGTTATGCCTTGAAGAAATAAGTAATCTTTTTTGCATTGGCTATGATTGTGATTTGGGGTTACAAGATTTCTTGATATTAAGTTTCGAAATGCTTGAAAATTCACATTACTTTTCAACTTTGTTGATATACCTCCACCCACAAGGGAAAAGATTAAATTTTGTACTTTTGCCAAGCTTGTTCTGATCACTGATTATTGTCCCAAAGCTTCTTGATCTTGTGGAGTTCAAATTGAAGGAAGTAATCTCAAGGGAGCCAACTCTCCTTGTCATGGTGGTTGGTGTTCCCAATGTTGGCAAGTCGGCCTTAATCGATTCCATCCATCAAATAGCATCAGCTCGCTTCCCAGGTATGATTCTTATGAAAATTCAGATTTCTTTTGAGTCTGTTATAAGAAAGTTGTCAGCATTCAATTCCTAAGCGTGTTTTCTCAGACAGGGATTGTTTACTTGCATCATAGTGCAGGAGAAGAAGAAACGGGCCACAGTGGGACCATTATGTGGTGTTACTCAAGATATTGCTGGGTTCAAGGTATATGTGTTTGTTAAAAAAAAATAGCGTTTAGATGTTCAGCAGTCGGATTGCTTTTCAATGCTGAAGTTGAAACAATTGCATGCAACATTGAACGAGAGAACCATTTGACCCTTTTGAGGTTTATAATCCTTTTCCTCCAATCATTAAAGTCTTTTTAAGTTCATGACCATATGCAATTTCACCTTGTTGAACTATAAATTTTTTCTTACTGTTGCACTGTATTGGTGGGCTACACATTCTTATAGAGGGAAATTAATACTGTGTTAATGTTGGCGTTGAACAAATTGCACCCAACTGGTATGCACCCAAAAATGTCAGGGTTAGTGATATAAGATACTGCTCCTTATGTAGCGTGAATATATAAATTGTACTAATATTTTGGTTATTTTCAAATTTCAACTCTTGTTATTGGTTTGATGCTATTAGGTGAGACCATGAGACTAAGTGAACAGTTGGTTTCTTATTTCATGTTCTATTTAACAGAGCAAACCGATTAGAATTTTTCGCTGCTGTCAAGTACCAAAGATCTGAATAGCAATGAAATGAAGAGTTATTGTTAATAGTATTTGTTCTTTCGGATTTTGTTTTCTGTAATTGTGAAACATAATCTTTTGACTGATTAATGATTGTGCATTGCCTGTCTGCCTCAGTGAGCAGAGATAATCAAACTGTGTCCTTGTACAGTGCAATTTTTCTGCCAAATTCGTTGATTTCTGGAAAATTTAGATAGCATTCTTCGCTTAGAGATCTGGTTTGCTCCATTTTTCTGGCTTGCTTCCCATTTTGATGTCCTTTATGATATCTTCTCATCCCTTCCCTATCAAAATGAGAAGGAACCAAGAAAGAAAAAGGGACCATGTTCCAAATTTTATCTTGTTACTGGAAACAATTTTTGAGATCATCATATGAAGTTGGAAGGAGCATGATAATAAGTTTTGAGTTATTAACTCTGAATCACAAGGGCCAAAACTCACAACTGGTTTTACAAATATTTATTGAATTCCATCCAGTGTATTTAATAAAAGTACATATACATCCTTGTTCTTCTACTGTTCTGGTCATTCTTTGTTTTTGCTATTCTTGTCATTTATTTAACTGCAGTGTCTATTGCTTAATTTTTATATTTTATTGCATGCAGATTGCCCATCAACCTAGCATATATGTTTTGGATACTCCAGGAGTCATGGTTCCAAGTATACCAGACATAGAAACTGGATTGAAGTTAGCTGTAGCAGGTTCATATCATCTTCTAAGTTTAATCTGTGTATTGATTGGAGTTTGCACTTGCTGTCTGAGTTCAAGGACTTGGGCAGTAATGACTTAAGATGAAAGGTCTTATGGTAGACAGAGTTTAAGCTGCTTCTGGCAATATTTTGACAGCTTATTATTGGCTTGAGTGAAAACATACGGGTAAATTATACAAATACAATGTACTCAAATTTCATTTGTGCTGTGACACTTCATAATGAATTGTCAGATGACCAACTCCAGCTTAGTTTGTTTGTGGTCATTTACAAGTCTAGATAAATTGATCTTGGTCACCGTTTTCATCCAGTATCTTGAATTAATGTAGCATAATCAGAATGTCAAAATGAATTTGGAAGTGAGAAATCATTTTAGATATTTCCCCGTTTACTCTAAACCATGGTTCTTCCAAACATGGCAATCAAATGGACCCCCACTTGCTCTTGTAAATGGGAGGTTATCTATTTATAACAAGTGAAAAATATGATATGTATGATTCTAAAGCAATCTATGTCATCATTTTGTGCAGGGTCAGTGAAAGATTCTGTAGTTGGTGAAGAGCGTATTGCTCAATATTTATCGGCAGTTTTAAACACCCGAGGCACTCCAATCCATTGGAAGCATCTTTTTGATAGAGAAACTGAAAGTTGTCACCAAGATTCTGATGACAAGCCCAAGTATAATCTCAAGGATCTTCTACCGAAGAAGAGGAAGCCTCCCAGTAAATCTGACATGCATTATATTGAGGTAACTTTAGGTCTTTCATAACTGACAAATTGATTTTGGGAAAGTACACACGCTTAGTTCTTGGGAACTGCATAAGCATCATGTCTAGGAGGTTCATCTATGTTTTCAATTGGTGGTACATATATCATATTTCGCCTCTATTTGGGCTGCATTAAAATGAGATTTTGGGGGAGAACTTATTTTGGGATAGTGATTTTTGGAGAATGTGTGGTTAAAAAACAAAAAAAAAGTTTTGGGTTTACGTGTAACATATTTTATGGTTGAAAATGTGTTTTAGAAAAACGTATTTCTGAAAAAATGCAGCCAAAACAGGGGCTTCATGACCTCATGTTTTGATGTGGGTACGACATGGGAAACAAAAATTTGAACATGGGATTTCTGGGCACTGGAAATCCTAGCCAAAAGATAACAAAATCCTGGTTTTGTATCTGATTTTCGAACTCAACAAGGATATCACTAATGACCAAAAGTTTAAACAAAGATAATCCGTTCACTAATGCATCTTCCACCTTAGTAGTTTCATGTTCTTGAAACTGTTCTATTGGTTGGCTAATGACTTTTAATCAATTATGCGGTTATCTTCACTAATCTTTTATTTAGGTTTGCGTTATTGCTGTATTTGGTTGGAGTTAGGATGTGCGGTCAGAAAACCAATGAATAATACTACGACCATTGCTCTCGACTGACAAATGGTCTTGGAAATCTCATCAGCATTCTGTGGACAAGATGTATATTATTCATGAATAAAACTCTCTTTCTAATTATCCCCATGAATCTGTTTGCACAGGATATCACTACCGAAGTCCAACGAGCATTATGCACAACTCTCTTGGAATTCAACAGTAATTTGAGGATGAAGTCGACCTAGGAAGCCTTGTAGACCAGCAGTTCGAAGTGTTGCAGAAGGCGTTAAAGATACCTCACAAAGCATCAGAGGCTCGTACCATAGCGTCGAAGAAGTTCCTCATTTTGTTTAGAACAGGGAAACTTGGCCCTTTTATCCTTGATGATGGACCTCATTGTTATGGTTCTATATCCTAAATCTCATATTATGAGTTTATTCCCCCCTTCTCCCAAAACAAATCGTACATAATTTGTAGTAAAGATTATTGTATCCATCATTGAAATGGAACCTTTTCTCTGTTTCCTTACCACAGTTTTATCTAATTATTATTATTATTATCTTCATTTGGCTTATCATAAAGACGAGTTGAGATTATTTGCATCTTATTAGTTAGTCGGTGGAGCAATAACTTATAAATATGGTACATCCGGGCAGATGATTAGCTACACATGCTGGAACTTAGACATGGTCCAGACCCTGAAAAGAGGCAGTAGTGGAAAATTTTCTACAACTTGTGTGGTGGTAGAGGACACACAGGTTGACGAAAAATAATTCCAGAATCTGAAAATTGGCGACTCAAAATATTGAATAATGATACATTAAAATTACATTAAGACAGCAATGAAAAGTACACACGGCATGTTCAATTAAACAATTATAGATGTCAAAATTGAATTGTAAAATAATGCAGCTACAGGCTGAACTACAGGGACAAGTTTGAAAAGCTTATTTATTTGCTTCGATGAACTCTTTGTACTCTTTCTTCATTTTGACACCTGATAGAATCCTGCGTATTAGAGTTTACATGTCAGCATCAAATTTAGGCAAAGTTCATGGGAGTCGACAGCACAAGTGTTTTTCTAGCTCACTGAAATTTGTAAGCAAGTTTTGGGGTGTACTTTTTTTAAGAGAATAGTCGAAAAATGCAAACATCAAGCCAGGATGTTGAAATGGATGGCATTTATAGTTGGGAACTACCAAAATTTAAGGGAATTCTAAGACTGGGATAAAGATGTAAAGAGGGTTGGAAAAAGGTGTGCTTGAATTTTCTCCAAGCCCGGGCCAAAAATTCGAAGAATAAATAACAGGATTAAGATATGAGAGAGATGGGTTTCCTTGGATAGGAACATGTTAATGGGGCTCATCCCTTGTCCACGTATGAAGAAGTTAAAATGGAATTTCATGCCGTCGAATGGTTTATTTGAAAAGTACAGACGTATATTTTGATGACTGAGATAAACTAAATCGTGATATGCATGTTTTTCAGCAGAAATGCTACATAACCAACCTCAACATTTCCTTGTTTTTGAAAAATTGAACACATGGTGTACCCATAATTCCAGCGGCCTCAGCAATCTCTGGATCTTCTTCAATATCAATCTCAACGAAATGCACATTCTGGTCAAATTCATCTATCACCTGCACTCAATTCATGTATTTGTTTTCTAGTTGAGTACAGATGTACTGAACAATCTTTATTCAGTTCACAAGAAGGCAAGAAAAAATATCATCAACATACAACGATATTTCACTGAAAATATCTTCTGCTATGGGTAGATGAAGTTTCCAAAACTGAACATTCATCAGGTCATGGATCCAGTTCACACCACCCTAATTAAATGCTTACATGCTTTCTTGAAAATAGTTGCATATTTTAGCATAATTTTTGTGCCAAGAGGACGAACAAAATAATTTTAAGCAATTAAAAGTTCAATGAAACCAAAAAGAAAAAACCAGTTAAAGATAATAATTTTGCAAAGAATCTGAAAATATTGCAAGTTCATCATCAAGAGATGTGTTACGAATAGAAGTTCATAAATGTAACCAGCTACATATCTATATTGGAATGAGTGTATACCTTCCCAAGAATTGGTTTCAAGGTCCTACAAGGACCACATGTTGGCGAAGTATACAGTACACATACAAGCCTCGGACTTTCATGATACAACTTTCTTAAAGCGTACTGAGACGAGTTAAAGATTAAATTAAGAGGAGGAACATAATATATGTAATATTTAAGGAAGGTTTAATTTACAATCTATGGATTATAAACAGGATTCTCACCTGGCCTTTGTGCTTTGTAGCAGTGATATCAAACCCTTCTCGTACATCTCTGTCAGTAAGCTCTTTCTTAACTTCTTCAGTCTTGGGCTGTGACAGAGCACCAAATGGAAAAGATGATAGTCATTATCAGTTCCGAAATATCAATAAGGCTGCAAGAACTGATGATATAAACCTGAATATTAAGATTTCAAAGATGAAAATCTCTATAGCACCTCTATCTTTTTACATGATATTTTCCCAACAATAAGTTACAAACCGGCTAATGGTCCAAGGGAACTCAAATGCAATTGATTTTATCTATGAACCATTAACTAGACTCATCAACAAGGATAAATTCAACTCTTTAAAACCATAGTAAGTACATGGCTAATTTAGGCTATTGTGGGAAAAATAAATAAATAAATACTGCTAAAACAATAACAATAGCTCTTAAAACTTTCAAGATCACATCAGGTACTCCCATTCTCACTGAAATTCCAATAATCTTCCAAGTATCAAGTAGATATAATTTGAACTATAATTGCTATTGAGCGAGAAAGTCAAGATTTAGGTTTTTCAAGCAATTCACAGTAAAGGAAAGCGATGGCGGTTTCTAGTAAAACAAGAAGGTAAATAGGTGAATTGGTGAATATGGCATCTATGAAGGATAAGTTGAGAGAGGATCAGTTAAGATGGCTTTGGATACCTCCAAAGAAGGATATGCCAGTTAAGATGAATTGAGATCCCTACAATGTTAAAGTTATTTAAAACATAATTGTTATAAAACTCAATCAAATGATTTTAGTCCAGCTAGATTTGGGGTCAGCTACATAAATACTAACTTTTAAATTATGCAAATTCCACCGTAATGCCTACAAGTCATCATATAATTCTTCAATAAATAATTGTATGACCCTGCTGATAGCAGTGCACAACATCACATCTGACTCGTTACCCCCACATACAAATAATCTCATACTGTATCCATGCATACCAGTGCTGATAGAATACTATCTGTTAAGTTTTCATTCATAATATTACCAGATAAACACAATGACAAGTAAAGGAGCTGTGAGAATAATGAAAAACTTGTGCCACATGTACCTGTACATCTCCAGCAGCAAATACGCCTTCTACAGAAGTCTTTGCAGTGCCTTCCTCGACCAAAATATAGCCTGCTCCATCAAGATCAACCTGTCCTTCCAACAACTGGCTATTTGGTGAATGACCTATTCCATAAAACAAGCCTTTTGCCTCCAGCACTGATTCTTCTTGAGTGTCCCGGTTTTTAATCAAAATACCCGACATCTGCCCTTTCATATTGCTGACAACATCCATAGTCTCTGTATTGAAGTGCACGGTGACGTTTGGGTTGTTAAAAACTCTGAAACATTCGCCATAATCAACCTGTTAAACAAATATCCACGGAGTTGAAACTTAAAACACATTGCTTATCAGTAATTCAGTTCACTTGAAATGATGCTTAAACAAATTAAACACAAAACATAGAAGACATAGCAGCAGCAGAATGACCATGAGGGCAATCAACAAGTTGAAAAACAACCATTATAATGAAACAAAAACCCTCATGGTTCATGCATATCTTAATGCAACAAAAATCTCTTAAAGTTAAATTATGCGTTGTGACATCATGCCCTTTGTTACTATATCAGAATATCACGTGCCAATATTGTCCTAGACATTTTCAAATTTTTGAACCAAAAAGACAATATAAGCAACCATTTATTTGTTGTTTGAGGATAAGAGAAATGCCTTCCCTAATACCTACATATTATGGCAATTTAAAAATAGTATTAAAAAACATGACAATTTTTACTCCTTAGTAGAAGTATAAACAAGAGAGGACAAAGTTGCATACTTCTCTAGCTGAGCCTAAAAACACACTGAAGATGAGGTGATGATTTGCCTTAAAAAAGGCTGCATACTTCAAGTTCAGATTGCTTCTTTATACTTTAAAAGTAAATATATTTATCATTACAACACTATAACATAAAAGGGTATTTATCAAGTGCAGAAAGTAACCATAATAACATGCTATGATCTTAAAATTTCCTATCCAAGAGAAACCTCATATAATGGCGAGATCTAAAATTCGATATAATACGAAGTCATTGTATTCAAGAATACTACTGAAATTAAACATATTTAGGTCCATGTTCTGTATTTATCAGATAAATGTAAAATATGTTACAATTAAATATGATTTTGACTCTCTCTAAAGATGATTTTTGTGAAGGACGACTTGCAATATCACCTTCATAGAACAAGTAGGATGTAGCAACCATGAAAATTTGATTTGTAATCACATCCACACGTCTCTATTCTTACACCACGGAAGAGAATGACATTCAGTGTAGAACATAAATTAAAGATGAAAGAGGTCAGGATTTCTCTAAATATAAATTTTTTAAAAGACAGTAAAAGCAGGAAGATGTAACCAAATGCATGGAACGACAACCCTAAGATGTAACTGAATGCCTCTGATCATAATGAAATTAAATAATAGTATAAAGGAAAAGAAGAACAAGAGCCACAAGACATATCAGCTAAGATCTCTGAAAGTAGAAACGTATACAAAAGCAAGAGCCGTACATACACCAACAATTTTGAAATTGACATGCAAATTGAAGAGATTTCATGCATAAGATGGAAAAGAAAATTGTGATTTGAGAAACACATTGTTTTCACCTATCTTGCATTGCTTTTGACGCCCTTAGTTGGTCACTGCGTACGAGCAAATGAACATGGCCGGCATATTTTGTTAAGTATAATGCTTCCTCTGTAGCTGTATCACCCCCTCCAACCACAGCAAGGACTTGACCTTTAAACAATGGTGATGCTCCATCACATATTGCACAAGCACTAATTCCCCTACTCCAAAATTCATCTTCACGAGGTAACCCCAGCCTCTTTGCAGTAGCTCCAGTAGCAACAATAAGACTATTACATTTTACCTGAAAAGCAGTAATCCACTTTCAATCATTTCATCAAATTTTAATCAGCATTAGCCAGAAGCTAAGGTTTACAGAGTTACATATCAGAGTTCCACTGAACTGAGTTCACTGTCAACGATGAGTGGAACATTCATAAAAATACGTGAATATAGATAATGGACGAATACTTGTATGTTATGAAGCATGGATGCATTGACATGTAACTTTTTCAAAAACTAGAAGGCGAACATGCTGATTAAGATTAAAAAGTAACATTAAGAGGAGTGACTATGCCACCCTCCCTTGTATTCTTGTGAGTTCCATATATATTATGGTTGGGGTTGGGGAATTCTAACCCATCATCCTTCTTTGGTGGAGCTTAAAAATCCACCAAGGATGAGTTGGTGATTTGTTTAATAAAAGAAGAGGAGTGGTCATGCTTGTCACAGTGCTTACATTCATCTACAATTTATTTGATAAATTCAGATATGTCTACGTGAATACATGCAGAATTGACAAATGCTATGCACGTAACATTTGCATGAAATGGGCATTTAAATGGAACAATAATACGGTTAATCATTCCAAAAGATTGTTTTACACCATCAGAACGGCATGGGTCATTTTTGTTTACTGCCACCTCATCCAAAATTTAAGAATGTTAGAGGGAATGTACATATAACTCTGTTTGGTAGAGATATTATGAGGAAAAAAAAGTTTGTGAAAAGTGACTTTGTTTTGGAGAGTTTGTGGTTAAAAAATAGGAAAAATTTTGAGTTTACGGTTAAAATTGATTTATTGAGAGAACGTGTGGTTCAAAATTAGTTTGGGAGAAATGAGTTTTAAAAAATAGGGCCAAACAAGCGCTATTTATGTTTGGCACCTCTCTTCAAGAAAGCTAGAAAGCAGAAGCTAAGGAAAAGGCATTTGATAGGATGAATCTATCTATGCACCTACTCAATTATCTTCGACACATCCTCTGTAGTTCAGATTCATTTTTTCTTCAAAGGCTTGATACATGGATTTTGATACATGAATGACAGCAAGTCTTGAACTCAAAATCTTTGCTTAGTCCGATACGATATTAAACCATCTCAACTAAAAACTTAGGTTGTTAAAGGGGGGATATTTTATTTATTTGCATTTGTATATTCAACATTGTTTACTGCTAAATCTTATGAAATATCATGATGGTGTGCTTAAGTTATTAAGCAAAGATTGCTCTCTGTCTATTGCTAAATGCAAGCCACAGGACTTCAACACGGTCATAAATCAGTTTAAACAAGCTAAGCACAACAAATAAATGACACATACCATCACAGCCACAGGTCCTTATTTTTGTCCAGAAAACTAAAAAATTAGAATTCTCTGTGTACAAAATAATGAATAACCATAGGGGATTCTCGAATAATGGTTTTCTCGGATCTGACTCATTAGAGTTTTGTCTCAGTAGTTCAGAAAATACTGCAATATGATATAAGATAACCTGAACTGAAAGGACGCATTACCTTGCGTTCACTACTTTGCACAGTGAAAGGTATGTTTTTCACATCAATTAATTCCACATCTTCTTGAAATAACTCTGCTCCCCAGCGCTCGGCTTGCTTCCGAATCCTAGTGAAATTGACAATATAAAGATTCTGATCTCTTTAACTGTATCAACTAATGTAAACATTATTAAGGATCAATTCAAAACTAGCAATACTTTCAAAAAGTTCAAGTACCTGTCCATTAAGTCTGGACCAGTTATTCCATCTGGAAACCCAGGGAAGTTCTCTACTTCAGTTGTGGTCATCAATTGTCCTCCAGGAACACCACCTACTTGATATCCCTCAAACACTAAAGGCTTCAAGTTGGCTCGAGCGGCATAAATTGCCGCTGTGTATCCAGCAGGACCTGATCCTATAATTACCAGATTCTCAATAACCTGAGCTGCAAGAAAGGAAACATCAAATCCTGTAAGTACAACATTAATAGATCCATCTAATAAGTATCACTCATGTTTTGGAACCATTGGTGAAAAACTATTAAAGACTTTTTTTATTGATCAAATAATTATTGGATAAGCAAAAAAGAAATATCATTTAGGCTCTGTCTATGCCCCATTTTTTTGAAAAATGACTTTTGTAATAGAGTTCGTTTTTTTTTTCTTTTCTTTGTGGGGGTAGAATGCGTGGTTAAAAAGTAGGAAGAAGTTTGGGTTTACGTGCAAAATTATTTTATAGGGAGAAATTGTGGTTGAAAAAGAGTTTGGAAAAAATATGTTATTAGAGAGAGGCTCAAACAGGGGCTTGATGAGAATGATATAAGGTCAACAAAGTGGGGGCTAGGAATTTGGCCTTGTGGGGATGATATCATTTTATACGATCATTCTTAAGGATGAAGTTTTAGCACTTGAGAAGATCCAAGTGGAAAATTGTTGAATGTGTGGAGGATTAGTCCCCGAGTGGGAGATTGTTTGATGGGTGGAGCCTAATTACAATGTTTATTTATTATAAGGGTATAATGGTTAGTCCATTCATATACTACATAGCACTAATTTTATAAAGGATATTAGGCAAGCATCTTTTTGTGCCCATCTAGGCGTATAGAGAAAAAAGAGAGGCGAGAGAAAATCATTCTTCTTCATCTATATAGCGAAATCCTGCTAGGGAATCAAGTAGGCATGGGTCTCGCATTGCATTGAGAGTTAACCAATCTAAATGGCATATTTTTTTCGTTTGCTTTTGTTTTATGTTTCATGTTACTAATTGCTCTCGGTAGTATAGATTAATCGTCTAATCCATAACACTACCAATATCTCAAAAGCTAATCCTCTAGCTTTCAGCTAATTTCTCATAAACCTTGTCAATGTAGATCTCCTATACTCGCACAAGGAGCCACAATGGGGTTCATCAGGCATGGATGACCGCTGTTAATCAGTTGGCAGCATAGTAACAAAAACTGCAGCCACTCATGAGTGCATTGTACTGTGTTAAATGTTTGTCCAACAGTTTGCAGTCTTTTCAGCATCCCATTCTTGAATTAATTTTTGTACTTCAGTAATTGCTTCTTTACACTACAAGTGCAAGTATATATATTCTCCATAAATTCATACTTTTTAGTTTTTGCGGTTTATTTCCCTTTTAAGTTACTAAAAATCTGCTCTTCCTTTATATTATCATCCAAAATTCATCAAGTCAATGCTCTCACTGGTGCAAGTTACAATCTTTCTTGGAAATGTACGCTACAATTTGTATCATTTTCCCACTGAATTTTAATTATGAATAAGAAAAAATTCACTAACCAACTCAATTATTCAGTAATCACACAAGCTCTATCCATATACGTGTAATAAGTACCCGTCTGTCGTATATAATTAAAGAGAGAGAGGTGTGACCTGTAGAGCTAGGAAGCTCCGCAGTGGAAGCAGTGGCGGAGACGCGAAATGACGGAGAGCAGAGACGATGGTGATTGAAGCGACTGGCTCCAACTGAGTCAAATCGAACGGCATGTCTGCGAGTCGGCCCTCCTTTAACGAAGACTAGATTGTTCCGGGCGGGAAGAATAGCAATGGAGAGAGTTGAGGGAGTGGCCATAGCGGAAGCCGCTGCCGCTGCCTCGACTTGGAGAGTTGAATAGCAAGCGAATCGAACTCGGATTCCGATCCTGGCACCGAACCCGAAACCGTTATGAGGACAGGGTGTAGAGGGAATGGTCGTGCAAGTGTTAGCCATATGTTTCGGACCACAATATATCCTCTAAAGTCCTTTCTTCTCTCTCACACGTTTAAATTCTGTGTTACTCATTTTTTTTTTAAATGTATTTTTTTTTCTTCTTTTCAATCACTCATTTTTTATTAAAATAATATTACACGTAAATAAAAAACTTTTCCTTATCTTTTAACCACACATTTTCCATCGATTTACTATTCAAAAATACATTTTTACATAAAAATGACTTTCAAACACTCACTAAAATTTGAAAAAGGAAAAAATCAACAAAATCATAGGAATTCGGTTTCCACTAAATTGGCCAAGAACACACTTTAAGGGTGCGTTTGATTACAAGTATGAAATTTACATAGAAAGAAAATAAATTCTAGATAATTCAATCGCCTAAAATTTATTTATATGAAAATTGTCAATTAAATGTGTTTGATTGATTTAATTTTCAATCTAAAAAATATTATACTTGCCCATTTTTTATTAATGGATTAATGAGAGAGAGTGAATAAATAAGAGAGAGTGGATAAATAAGAGAGAGAAAGAGAGAGTGAATTTCTTGAAGAATAAAATCCTACTTTTCCTAAAAAAATATTTTCCTTGATTTTCACGTGACCAAAAGTGGAAAAATATTTTCCATGAAAAAAATAACAATCAAACAACACAAAAGTAAGAATTTAAGAGAAAAAACACATTTTTCCATTAAAAATATAATAAATCAAACGCACTCTAAATGTTTGTACCTTGAAATTCGAATTTCATTTTCACTTTCAGATCAAACAGCCTAAATAGAAAGCGAATTTCTCGGTTGACATTTTTCATATAATTTAATGCTATCAAACGAACTTTTAGGCGAAATTACTAGAAAATATAATATATTTTAGATATTTGCTATAAATGTTTGTCCATATTTTCTAATCCAAGAATTAAGCTAAAAAAAATGTTGGAAATATTGTTCGTAGACTTGCACGATCCCAATATATTTTTGTTTGGCTTCATTATTTAATCTTCTTGATAATATGTAACAATTATTCTCAAAGTATTAATGCCTTCACAAAATGCAGAAGATCCCAAGTGCAAGTCTCTGTCTAATAACTACCACATTCTTAACGATCACCGGCGAACGACGAGCTTCCGTTCAACTGGATGGCAACAACATAGTCGAGATACTAAAAACAAACATCATCAACGCCTCAAAAATCCCGATTTCTATATCCCTAACCAAACGGTTTACTACATCGTGTAAGTACGGGATTTTTACACGAAATAAAGGCGAAAAAATGATGTTACTTAGAGCCAATCAATATTGTACATCACACAACCTATTTACTCATCCACTATGTACGTCAACTTGTATCACTCAATAAACAACATAACACTTTACAAAAAATTGGCGAACGTTTCATGAGAAATCGTATCCCCTCGAAATTTTTTCCGATGTCGGATCAGAATATGCGAAGGCGGCAGTTCCTCATGGATTCGCAGCAAAATGGTTAAATATTGTTTCGAGCGTAGATTGACTGAGGCTGTACTCCGATATACCAAGTTCATTTCTGCAGGAAAAGATTTTTTCATAACATTTAAATCCCGATTTTCAATAGAAAATGTAAAACAAATTTGTAAAGTGAAAAAAAAGTATTCACCTGTTTCTTTCTATGTGCCCAAAAACGTCTGCGAGCGAGAGGTCTTCTCCGTATGGCAACTGCCGTAAACATAAGATCAGTCACTAACTGATTTAGAAATCAATAGGCAGACAGTGACAGAAATCAACTCAATCGTCCCATGAATGCAAAAATCAACTTAAAAATGTGTTTGGTAAAGGCATAATTTAAATAAATGAATACATCCCTTCTGTATCGGCTTAAGCTTTTAAATGAGATAGTTTAGCATGGTATATGAGCAGGTAGACACACTGAATTTGAACATCAGAGTTGTGCACGTGTCATGCTTTTGATAAAGGATGAGTAAGGCTTGCACTTTCCTGGAGACTAAATTTGATAAATTAATGTAACCACTGAGACAACTTAAGCTTTTAAATAAGATGATTCAACATAATATCATAGTAAACAAAGGTCTTAAAGTTCGAGTCTAAGTGTGATCCTTTTATGAAAATCATACACATATTAAGCCTTTAATATGAAATGAATCCAGATTGCATGTGAGGGGCATGTTGAAAAGTAAACTTAATCCACTGGTGAAGAAGACGGAAACTATAGATTGCTGTTGTATCAACAATAATTGGCCAAATTACTGTTTCCTCGTCGATTTTCGGATTTGTGAAGGACGATGTATTGAAAACAATGACCGGAAAATAATTCAATTGTGACTGGCAATAAAATCTTTGACAAGTGAAATACCTGATATTTAACGCTCAACCCGTTGCAACTTTGATACGTTGCACCCGGAAATGAAGATTGGATGAAAGAATCAATTACTGCAAACTTTTCTTTGGTTAACCACCACTCTGAAAATATTGGCAGAGGAATGCCACCTATAATAACATAACAACAGTAAAAATAATATCAACTACTGAAAATTAAAAGTAATAACAAGTGAAATACTAGTATGCAATATGGAAACAAAATGATCCAAACGACCCTGACATAGATCTGAGTTGCTGGTGATTAAGATCCATCTCAAAAAAATAATCCATTTTTGTCCATTTACAATCCTTATGTTCTCAAAGGGAGAAAAGGAGAAATGGCCTTTTCCTCTTTAAAATAATATTTTACACACAAATCAAAATTTTCTTCTTCTTTTTTAACCATACATTTCCATCAATTTACTATTCCATAATACAATACAAGAAATTAATGGGGCTCAAACAAGGCCTTATTTCTCACATTCTAAAAGGGTTATCATTTAGAAAGTAACTCTAGTGTTGGTGTCAAAATAAGTAACTTATAACTTCGACCAAACATACTCCTTAAGAGTTTTTCTAACCAAAGTTGCCTACCAACAGACTGACGCAAAAAACAAAAATTAAAAATGGATAGTGTTGGATCACACAACTTGGGGAAAAAAGGATTCGGTAACCAACCCCTAATAGGGACAGTCTTGGCTTGTTTTGTTGAATGAGTCTACTTATTCAAATAAAACTTCAACTTCACGTTGAAAAAACATTGATCAGGTGACAGAAGTGGACATACCATCACGAACCAACTGCTCTGATAACTGTTCGCCAAAAGCCCCACAAGATTCATTATTTCCAGAAACAAGAGCCTTCACTCTTTCTTCATTGCCAAGCCATCGTCCAATTCTCACAATCATTCCTTCTGATAAACTGATCTCTCCTGCTGATGCATTCTCGGATGTTATGGAGTCGATGCCGCCAATACATACTTCCAGGTCGTTCAGTATACTACTCCTCGGATGAGAAGGAATGTCAAAGAGCTTCTCTTGAATTATTTGGCACAACATTTCCAAGTCCAAGGAGTCAACTTCCGTAGGTTTAACCTGTAGATGGATATAATAATAAAAAATATGAGGAGCAAACTTCGTGGGTTACGGGTAAAATAAAATTAAAATGAAATATATCAAACTTCTTAGCATGAGACTAGAGAAAAATACCTCTAGTTCGAGATGATTCCCAAATCTATTTTTCAAATGTTGGGGACTCCCAATGCATCTTAGCTTGCCTCCAACCTAAAGACACATGCAAACAACACAATAATTAATGACTTGAATCTCTAACGAGCAAATCATAAAAAAGCTAAACGCCTTGAATGCATTCTTGGTAACGTAGATCAAACAATACTAGATACTGGATAATATTAAGAAAAAGAAGTTGAGATCTTGTTTATTGAACTGTCCTGTCCTTGTTCAGAGTAATGCACACCAAACATGCAAAGAAAGAGTACCATTATTCCAATTTTTGTGCAAAGAGCTTGAGCTTCACTCATGCTGTGGGTGGTTAGAATGACAGCAGTCTTTCCTCGTCTGGTCGATAAGCGTGATATAACTTCCCACATGAATCGCTTAGCAATAGGATCCATACCTAAAATATTAAAACATGATACAGATGCAGCTTCTCAAGTTATATACCAGGGCAAGATACAGATATACCTATCTAAACATGAAAAGTACTTCATTGCAAACGAGAAGGTTCCAAAGCACCATATAAATTTCTTCTTTATTGTACTTATATTGCAAAGAT